TTGTTTTTTTTTTTGGTTTTTTGAGACAGGGTTTTTCTGTGGCTTTGGAGCCTGTCCTGGAACTAGCTCTGTAGACCAGGCTGGTCTCGATCTCACAGAGATCCGCCTGCCTCTGCCTCCTGAGTGCTGGGATTAAAGGGGTGCGCCACCGCTGCCCGGCTGTCTATTTCTTAAGCAGGAAAAAGGTCACATTATCTGTTTTTATTCTTAGTCACTCCTATGACCCTCCGGCAGCAAACATGCTTTGGCCACATAGTCACATAAGAAAGATCATTTTGATTTATAATACTTTGTGTTCATTTCTCTTCCTGCCACTGTAGGATGTACGGCAGAAGCAACCTAAGACATGTTTCCTTGGTCTCAGCTTCACAGGGTACAGTCCCTTACAGAGGGGAAGGCCTGGGGACCGGAATGGGGTGGACAGTGGTGGTGGGAGCTTGCAGTGCACGCTGTTCACACTTCAGATTAAGACGCAGAAAATGAGGAGAGAAGCAGGGCTTGAATATAACTTGAAGGCCTATACCCAGTGGCCTCCATCAGCCAATGATGTCCCATGCCTGAGGTTTCACAACCTCCCAAAACAGTACCATCAGATGGGGCAAAGGGCTCACATACACAAGCCTGCGATGGACATTTTATATCCAAGTACTATTTTAATAAACAGTGATTCTGGTGTACTAGCATTAGCGGATATGCCACTTTGATAGTCTGCCTGAAAAGAAAACGGCACTTGAGATTAGAGAAAGAAACAAAGGACTTGCTTTACATACTCAGTGAGCTTCCCAGGTGCTCATGTAGCAGGCGATTTTAAACCTGAACTGTGTCAAGGGATGTCCAGGATCCCAACCCTCAACAAAAACCTCAGTGCATTATTTCTGGCCTTACTATATAAACTTGAATTTGAGAAGCCTATTTTAAAATAAAGAAGTCACATAAAGGCCGGGCTTAGCAGGGGCAAAGTGTTAGTTGTGCAAACCTGATAGCCCAAGTTCAATTCTTGGAACCCATGTAAAAAGTTGTAGGTGCTACCATGTCTAATTCCAGCACTCCTACTGCAAGACAGGAGAGCTGCGAGACAGGCTGTGGGCCAGCTAGCTGAGTGGACAGTGAGGTAGCAATGAGACCCTGCTTAAATGAAACATTGTGGAAGAACTGACTCCCACACACCTGCTGGGGCAGGTCCATGCCTGCACTATATGCGCACATTATTTTTTATTGAGACCATAAAAATACCCACTTTGGGTGTGATGCATTTTTTTTTTCAAGAGACAGGGTCTTACCCTACACAGCCCAGGTTGGTTCAAACTCACAAGCATGAGCCCCATACCCAGGACTCCTGATTTCTACTTCTTTCCTCTATTCCTGTAATCAGCACCTTCAAATCGGTACTAGAGGAAAGTTTCAGTTTAGTCTTACTCTATTCCCAACTCATTTTCCCTAGATCAGATGTTGTATGTGGTTCCTGGAGGGAAGAAGCAGTAAGGACAAGGAACCAATGGGTATGTTTGCTAGCTTTTATAACACTTTTGGAATTAAACCACATTTCTCCATCTTTACAATTTTACTTTTGTGCATCTGTGTCCACGTTCACGTGTGAATTCCAGGTGTGTGAGTGCCATGGCATGTGTGGAGGTCAAAGGATAACCTTCTACCTTGTTTGCTATTGAGTATGCTGTGCTAGCTGGGCTACAAGCACCTGAGATCCTCCTGCCTCCCATCTTGCTGCAGAACACTTCAGTCTGCACTAGAGATGCTTGCTATCATGCCTGGCTTTTCATGGGTTCTAGGGATTCATCATCAAGCCCTCATGCTTAAAATGCAAGCACGGTATGCTGAGCTATCTCACCAGCTGATCAATGTCTCTGGATTTTATGTTGAGTAGTTTACCCATTTTACCTCATCTAAGATTACTTATGGACTGAAGCCTGGGCTGAGACCTATACTCCAACATGCTACAGGATATATTTTGGAAATGTTTCCTTTCAGTCCCAAACTAGTCCTCACAACTCTAACAAATTATGTTTAGCATCTCAGCAGGTAGACACACCCACTACCAGGCCTGATGACCTAAGTTCAATTCCTCCAATTCACATGGAGGGAGGGGAAAACTCCTGTGGGTTGTCTTCTGATCTTCACATGCTCATCACAACATATACAATTCATTTAAATAAACTTAAAGCATATTTAAGGACTGTCACTTAAACTAAGAATCCTAAAGATCCTAAAGTCTTCAAAGAGAAAAAGGTTACATTTGTCTACCCCCATGTACTAGTAGCCAAATACATTTGATCTGTTAATTTCCCTGTCCCACAACAAAACCGTTTTGTGACTAGAGTCTCATGCAGGCAGTAGCCCCTACAGGCTTGGAATTGTCTGAAACCCAGAAGTCTTCAAACTTGCAGCTTGGCCTCTGAAGTGCTGGTGTCATAGGTGTGAACTATCATACCCATTTATTCCTGGTAACTAATGTTCCCATTTGATTTTCTGTAAATAATCCATCCTGACTAGATCCTTCAATTAAAAATTATTAGGTGTTTTTTTAAGGCTTATTTTTCATTATGTGTATGTGTTGGGGGAGTACTAGGGGGGAATGTGTATATGACTGCAAAAGCCTTCAGAGACCAGAATCTCCACTGGAGCTGAGTTACAGGTAGTTCTGAGCAGCTCGATTTGGGTGCTAGGGCCTGAGCTCAGGTCTTCTAGAAGAGCAGTACTGACTTTCTCCAGACCCTCCTCCAATTTGTAAAACATCCGCGAAATGGGATCTTTGTTTCTGCAGTGCGAGCGATCACACTCAGGCTTCCAGCACACTAAGCAAGCACTCTGCCACGGCGCCACATCTTAGTCCAGCACATTCAAGTCTTTAAAATGAAGGCTGTAACAAGTAGCTTGTTGCTCAAACTGCCAGACACCCGAGTGTTCTATCAGTGTTTTCTCATACATACTAAACCAGTTGTAGCTATGGCAAAATAAGTTAATGATGGCAAGTTGACTATCACTTTACCACTGCCAAGCAAAACAAGTAATAGCTATTCAAAAGCAGAGTCAGCTGGGTGTGGTAGTACACACCTGAAATCTCAGTAGTGTATTCAAGACCAGTCTGCTATTAAAGCAAGAAAGTTCCAGGTCAGTCAGGGCTACCCAGTGAGACACCATCTCAAAACAAACAAATATTACGTTTAGAGATCAAAAATGACAAAGATGGTCACCGAATAGATCAGTAAAAAATAAGTAACAGTTCTGCACCAATGCACAACAAAATATACTTTATTTTGACAGCAATGAACACGGTGCTGTATGTAGGTGAGGCATGCGACTAGGAATCCGCATATCATCACAGGCCAGTGTGGAAATCAGTGGAAACAAATACTATTCTTACATCTTGAAGGTTTCGTTCAAATTGAAGACAGTTGAGTTCACTCACTGTAAATGGAGTATTATTACTGTCCTTACTCAATCAGCAACTATACCCCTAATCAAGTGTGCAAAGCCAAGTATGAGAAGCTTTACTGTACTCAAATCACTTTTAATAGCAATGACAGGAAGATTTCACTTTTTCAACTCAGGCAAATTTCCTTTATTAGCCAACCTGGATAATGAGCATACAAATGTTCATCTGTTCATTTGTATAACTAGCTGATTTCAATGTCCTTTATTCCACCGAAAGCAAGTACCAGTTTGCCTATAACTGGACTGGACAAAGAAGCATATTCTCATACCTTGTAATGTCATACATTTAAGATTAAGTTGAGTCAAAACCTGACCTCTACCAATAGAAGATATCAAGTGCAGTTCAAATGCGATTGGTAAACTTCCAAAGGGAAGAGGTGGAAAAATGATGCTAAGGAGAGACCAGTCCTTTGAAGAAACTATCAGGACCTATAGACTTATCAAAGTCAACTCACAAATGAGGGGAAGGCTGAAACACTTTTGTGAAGCAGTATTTTTAGATACGCTGCTTCATTTTCTCCCCTTCTTTTAGAATAGATGCAGATTAATGTTTTACGCAAGGATGCACACTGACCTTCTGCTGTTTCTAACTGCAATACTGTGGGTTTAAACAGTATGCTTCCATTTACATAAATACCTTATACACAGTCAAGGTAGCTTTAGAGTGAGAAAACTAACTACTAAGAAAATCACTTACCAAACTCCTGCTCTTTTATAAGGTATTTTTAGAAGTAACACAGGACCAAAACATCCAACTATCACTTTATTTATATTACTATGCTTAAGTTACATGGAAAAGACAGCCAAGCAGTTCTGCCCCATTTCAGGAAATCTCCAATCAACACCACGTGTTTGGTGACAAGCAACTAGGGGTGGTGACATTGTGGGTCAGGACTGACAAGGAAGAATGGGTTCTGGTGCTACAGTTCCTCTCCAACAAGAATATGGCACACTGGCCAGCACAAGCCACACTAACACTGAGCCTCCAGCGCTGGGCACAGATTCGGATCTCTTCTTGAAGCTAGCAAATTAAGTGAAATAACTGGGTTTAAAAGAAAGTTAAAACAAAGCCCAAATAAATTTAAAAACCATGCTCTTGACATATTCTCCACGCAAAATGTACAAAAAACACTCCTTTTCACTGTAGGGGCCAAGTTTCCCCTCACACAGCCCACCACATAACTGCAGACTCATCTGCCTCAAGATGTAAACAAAAGGAAAAAATTAACGGCATCTGCAAAAATTCTCTCTACAAACTGCTGTTGGATGGGAAATACAAAATTGAAAAGAAAGAAAGAAAGGTTCCATCTCAGATTCTCACACCCTCTTGTTTGCAGTTCATGAATCCGATTCTGATGCTAAGGTGACAGTGTATGTAAGTAGATTTCTGTTTTCAGTGAAGGAGACCTGGGAAAAGACGGATTTATCGTTTTTTCTTCAAGAGTTATCAGATGGTACATGCTCCTCAAAGCCTTCACTCTCTCGAACTAGTGCACATTCCAGGATCACACGGCCTTCCTTATAACGCTGGCTGTCTTCAGTAGCAAACTCATAGATCCATCCCAGTTTGCTATTGCAGTTTTTGCAGCTCACATCTCGAACCATGTGGCGGCCAGTGAGCATGACCCGATCTTGAACTTCACTGTACTGCAAGTTAACTACCTAAAGAAAAAAATATACATACACACACAAAAACCCTTGTAAAGTCATGTAAGTTAGCCGACAACTATGACGATAAGCAAATGTATACACAATTAAATATTACAGAGCTGTGCATGCCCATGATCTCAGTGTGGAGAGGCCGAGCCAGGAGGATCATGAGCTTGAGAGCAGCCTCACTACAAAATGAGACCCTGCCTCAAAACAACAAACCGCCAAGCAAGTGTAGAAGTGTAGTTAGTTACACTCATGATAGCCACCCAGGGCTGGTTTTAAGAGATGCAGAGATAGGCTTGTGCCCCTAGGCCTTTAATCCTAGTATTTGGGAGGCAGAAGCAAGAAAGAAAGGCTTCAAGGTCAGCTTCACCCACATAGGTCAGTTTCAGGCCAGCCTGAGCTGAGACTCTTGTCTGAAATCCTATCCGACAACATACATCCAAAAAAAAAAAAAGAGGGAAAAAGAGAAAGGAAGGAAGGAAGGAAGGAAGGAAGGAAGGAAGGAAGGAAGGAAGGAAGGAAGGAAGGAAGGAAGGAAGGGTATGCTTCTGAGACAGAAAAATCTGGAAACTGCACTGTACTGGGTATCTAAATCGGGAACTTTTTAAAAGAGTTTTTTTTTTTTCCCCTATGGATGAGTGTTTTACCCACATATATGCATGCGTGTCTAGTGCCTGTGGAGGTCAGAAGGCAGTGGATCCCCTAGAACTAGAGTTACAGATGGTTGTAAATGCAGTCTGCTGCAAGAGCAACTAGGGCTCTTAACTGCTGAGCAATATTTCCAGCCCCCAATCTAATTCAATCTAAGTACTACACAAGTCCTAGTCTCGCCATTTATATATGGTAGCTCTATTTCTGGTTGTAGTGAAGAAAAAGGTCTGGAATTGAAGGTGTGGGATATAAGTTTGAATCCAGTTGTTAATTCACTCTGTAGTGATGAATGTTAGACAATCAAAGAACCTATTACAACAGTGTTCCATGAAGTATTATATTTGTTTCTGAAAACATACATATATACACAAACAGGTTGGGATAGGCTAACCTACTACAAGCTATTCAATGCAACACATTAATTTTCAAGGAAGTGCAAAGATAATGAATAATGAATTGGATTCTAAAATAATCTGGAGAATTTCCAATCATTCTAAATACCCAACAATCCTCTAAGCTTTACTTTCCTCTAAAAGATTAATAGTAAATAATTTTGGCTTTAAAGGTTATACAGTCTTAATTCCAGCTATTTAGCCTTGACACTTTAACACAAAAACAAGAGACTATTTAAGTAAATGAGTAAGCAAGACTGAAGACTGTTTACAGTTAACAGGCAGCTCGCCTGCCAGTGTCAACCCCTCCTCTGTAAAAGGAACACACTACTGACTCTCCGAGAGAATATTCTTCACTCACGGAACAGAGGAACAAATTCTAGCGAAAAGTTAACCTGACCTACTGAAAACACTCACTTAAGACAAGATTAGATCTGTTTTTTTTTAGCCTAAAAGATGTGAAAATTCAACTTTTCTAGGCTCCAGGGTACACAATCACATCAACTAATCTCAAAACAGGTTCAAAATTTCAAAACTAAGCAAACTAGACACACATTTGCAAATCTGCAAATGCTTTTCCTTTTGGTACACCCAAAGAAGCCAGATGACAATCAGAAGGCTGGCTGACAATCATTAATTATACAGTAAGAGAAGGCAGCTAGATTCACTTCCAACAAGTAAGCTGTAACAGCTAGCTCCGTAATGGATCAGTGACACAGAAGGGAGAGAAGATGGGTATGTTCGCCTCTTTTCTCCAAATTCTGTGAGTAATAAATCTTTACACTGAACATTTCCCAAAGAGTCAGAGACCCATCCTTCATTGTTGTTTTGGGACAGGGTCTCACTGTGTGGCTGAAGCTGGTCCAACTGGTCTATAACTCACTGTGTCTTCGGTTGTTCTCCAATTTGTGGCAATCTTCCTGCTTCAGCTTTCCAAGTACCGGGATATTAGACAGATGCTACAACACCCTGTCTCTCTTCTTCTAACTCTTTATTTAGGCTTTATAAAAATAAATACATAAATAAACTCATGTACCAGTAATGTAACCCTAAAATCCCAGAGACACGCTAATAGGCAGCCACTTCCGTAGGTTTCAGCCACCATTCTGATATTTCCTGGTATCTGTAAACCCTTGAGGGACTAGTCTAGTGTTGCTGTCAAATACATCCACTGAAGATATGTAAGAATGAAGCTTTTTTTTTTTTTTTTACCAACCTTGTTAAAAAGAAACGCTCTACCAGTGGCGCCTGTGAACCGAGTAGAGATGAGTTCTGAGCGGTTGGTAAGGATCGTATCACAGTTTGCACATGAAAACAGACGGGTACCGCCGATATGATCTAGGAAGATTCTGCCCATTTTGAGAGCTAAAGTTCTTAAAACCTAGAACAAATGGAAAAATATAAGACACACATTATTAAAAAGAATTGAGAGCAGTTATTGGAGGGGGTGTTATAGGTTATTTATGTACTATAATCTAAATTTTTTTCTAGCACCTGTCCTGTGAAATATCTGACCCTGAACAAAGGGATTCAAAGTCCACACGGTGAACAAAGAACAAGACTCCCCAAGATAGCAGTAATAAGCATGCTAGGTGACACTGAGGAACAGTATCACTTCTCTTTTGGTTGGTGTGAGGAACAAACAAAAGGAAAATGGAATTTTGTTTTATATGTGTATATACACACACACACAATCACTGACACAGACGGGGCTAGAGAAATGGCTCTATGCTCTTAGAGCACTGGCTGCTCTTGGAGAGGATTTGGGGTTGATTCCCAGCACCCATATAAAGGATCACAACTGTAACTCCAGGGGATTCAACACCCTCCAAAGGCACAGACCTACATGCAGGCAAATAAAACACACACACACACACACACACACACACACACACACACAGACAAGTATGGAAAAAAAAAGAGCATAGCTTTTAGTCTACATTCTTAGCATGTGGTATATAATTTAAGACTCGGAGGTATGGGGCACAGATGCAGTGATAAGAGCAGAAGAGAGTGCAATTTAAAACAAGAAAGGGCTGGGAATACAGGTCATTGGCAGAACACCTGCCTGACATACTGGTATCCGGGAGTTTCTACACCAACACCACACACTTACACACAAAATACGACAAAAATAAAAACAAGAGGGGACATGTGGCTTGAGAGGAAGAGGTGAACTGATAGGTTTGTGGTCACTGGTGTACCAACCACTACCCAGGGCCAACAGCACTAACTTCGTTAAGTCTGAGTCTAAAGTCTACTGAGCACCTACTTTAAAATTCACAGTTCTGGGAGGGTCTCACCTCCCAGCACCCCACTCCACAGAATAGTAGGCTGGAATGCAGTTCCACAAACTCCAAGACAAAGTTCTTCCATTACCCTCCACTGCCTCCCACAAAGGAGGGGGCATGGTGCAGACCTAGCTAGCTTAAGGTTAGAGCAACTAAGACAGAAAAGGAGAAGATGGACTTTCCAGCTATGACGTAACAGCATTAAGAAATGTAGGTGATTGCTGGTTTAATAAATTACAAAGCTTTGAAACAAGTTTCTGAAACCAGGACATGCCACACTTTAGTATTTCAAGAGTTACAGAGGCAAGAATCAATTCCTTAAATCCACTGCAAGCCATTTCTCCTGAAGTATTTTTAAATCTCTAGATATATTCAAGAATATACTACAGGTTTCATTTTAAAATGTTTCTGGGTGTTATTAGTTCCTGTGTTTCAAGTATTTACTAATATGTTAAATGGTGAGCAGAACTGATACAGCTCTCCTTTAGAGGCAGGGATCCAGACTTATCTGTAAATACAAATACTTGTTTGTAATTACAAACTAATAAGGAAACTATTTCTTCTTAGATTTATGAACTTTTCCAGCCCTTAGGCAATCCTATGTCATCAGAAGAATCATTCTGAAGGGGGGAGGAACACAGGAGGGAAATGGGGTGAAAGGATGAAAACAAAGTATGATACTTTTGAAATGTCATAATGAAATCCACTCTATAATAACAAAAAATACTAATTAAGAAAGAGAAAGTAGGCTGGGAACACACCTTTAATTCCAGCACTCGGGAGGCAGAGGCCAGCCTGGTCTACAGAATGAGTTCCAGGACAGGCTTCAAAGCTACAGAGAAACCCTGTCTTGAAAAACAAACAAAAGAAAAAGAATCTAAGGCTGAGTTTGGTGGCATAACCCTTTAATCCCAGCACTTAGGAGGCAAAGGCAGGTGGACCTCGAGTTCGAAGTCAGCCTGGTCTACACAGTGAGTTTTCCAGGACTGCCAAGGCTGTTATACAAAAAAAAAACCTGTCTTCAAAAAAAAAAAAAAAACCCTAATATAGTAACAAATATCATCAGAGGCAGGATGTGTCCGTTCACGTTTGAGTTATGCCTGAGAGAGAGAGAGTTCCAGGACAGCAAAGTCTACATAAGACTAAGTCTACTATATTTTTGTTTTGCTTTTTAAAGGAAGAAAAGCCACAATATGTAAACCCTTACACCAGACTTAAGCTATGGTGGTTAACTTTCGGATTGCATTTCTGGCGATGCTTACTCCTTACTTTTATAGTCCTTAAACTGCTTTTCCAAGACACACACACCCCAGACACAGTGGGGGGGGGGGCTCAGGGTGGCAGCTAAAGGCCTGTTAAGCTGAATTCATCAGCCCCGAAATATAGCAGTAAACAAAACTGACGGATTTCATTTGAACTATATATAAGGTCTTATTAATTTTAAAAAGGTGAGCTGAAGAGCCAGAATTGGTGATGGATCCCAGCAATCTCAGCAGCAGAGGCAGAGCACCCAGGGAAACACCCCATTTTTCAGGCCAGTAATCACCTAGTATGTGTAAAGCCACAGACTCACTCCTTACACCACAAATAAATTAATTAAAAATAAATGCTAAGGCAGGCGGTAGTGGTGCACACCTTTAATCCTAGGTGGATCTCAGTGAGTTCAAAGCCAGACTTATCTACAGAGTTCTAAACAGCCAGGACTACACACAAAAGGCATGTCTTAAAAATAAAAACAAAACAAAATTCTAGGTGGCTAAAAGAGATGCTCAGCAGTTAAGAGCACTTGGTGTTCTTGAGGGCCCATGTTCAGCTCCCAGCACCCACATCAAGATGCTTATAACTGACTGTAGATCCAGCTCCAAGGGCTCTGACACCCTCTTCTGATCTTCTTGGTTACTCATACATGGCTGACCACACAGACATAAATCTTAAAATAAATAAAATTTGGGGACAAGAGAGACAGGTCAGTGGTTAAGAGCACTTATTGCTCTTGCAGGGGATTCAAGTTCTGTCCCCAGCACCAATATCAAGTAGCTCATAACTAACTCCAGCTCCAGATCTGATATCCTCTTATAGCCTGCACAGGCACCTGCACATGGGGGACACGTGCACACACACACTCTCTCTAAACAAACAAGAAACAAAAAAATTAGAAATCTTTAAAAAAACAAAGTAAAATTGGGGTGAAAAGGCCTGTACTTTGGGGGCTGGGGTCAGGTCTAGAATACACAACATATTTTCCCATAGGAACTGACTGTGTTAAGCAGTTTTGTTGTTCTCTCCCATCCTAATTTATTTTTTCATTATCCACTGTGGTTCACAAAAGTATTTTTTCCTGTTTGATCCTTGTACCACTGTTTCAATTTATGACTCTCCATATAAATAAGGCATTCAACACACACGTGAACAGCTGACTTGTTAAGTTTATAATTATACATTAACTGTTTAATAAAAAGGATCGATAGCAAAGTTTTACAGTTCTCAGTGTGGTCATTTAGCTTCAGCCAGTTCCTGGGATTTGTTTTAAAGGTAATTTTCTTTCCAACTTTCAAATATCAGACTCGATTTATTTTAACTACAACGAAACAATTCTATTTCTAGATTGACCTTAGATGCTACCATGGAAGATGTTCCAAATGAACTTTATTCCATCTACCTACATCATTCTATCTTTGGCTCAGTAATACAGGAATAGCTGTGACCGACCATTTGGTACTGAGGGTAAATAGACTTAATATGCCTTCTTTGCTGCTTCAAATTTATTCTATTTTTTACTCTACCCAAGTATTTTTACTGGCTTCAATTATATGATTCATTACCAAGACTAAAAATATCTAGGAAGAACTTTATGTTACATGATTCCTGATTGTGATTGCCATTTACATATAAACATATATATTTGTAACTATATAGCTCTTGTTTGCCAAAAAAAAAAGTTATGTTGTCAACAAGAATCACTGCATGGTCATTAGATCCCAGTAAGCCTTGGCTTTACAAGGTTTGAAAAAGTATAACAGTACTTCAGTACTATAGCTGTCACCAATTACAATCCCACTACTATATCCTGAAAATCTGTGTTCCCATAAAACGTGTCCATTGAAACCCAATCACCAATGTGATGGCATCTGGGGAGTAACTGGGTCATGAAGACAGAACCCTCATTAGAGGATTGGGGTCTTACAGAGGCTCCATGGGGCTGCCTTGCCTTTCTACCATGAAGATACATCTAAAGGGGCATCAATAAACCAGGAAAAAACAAGTGCTTTTTTGTTGGGAGCAGGACAAATAAATTCCTATTGTTTATAAATCACTTGGGCAACACTGTTCAGTTACAGTAGTCCAAAGAGAGCCACTTTATTGTTAAGGAGACTTTATTGTTAAGGCTAAGAGTCAGCACAACTGTCTGGACCTGGCCAGTGCAGACTCTGCCTCAGACCTAAGTATGCCCAGTGTATGGGACACTGTACTTGGTACTTATCACTTAGCTGTGATAATTCTTATAGTAGGTATATATTACTCTAGTTTATAGGCATGAAAATATAGCCCATGTTAACTTCTCACAAGGAGCCAAGCTAGGCTCTAAACTAAATAACTAAATCTTATTCCAGTCTCCCTTCCCTCACCTAGAGATGCTTTAGTCAGTCTCCCTCCCTCGGGCTGACCACAAATTCTCCTGTATTCCCTAACTCAGTAGTAATCTAATCACACACTCCCTAAAATTAGAAAACAACTATGAATATAACAATAGGACTTACGTCAGATCAGGAAATCTTTTCTCTTTCCCTTTCTCCACATGTATTCAAACACTCATCCCATCTAAGAGTGTTAATGGCCATAGTGTGTTTTATTAAACCCAGCACACATTCACAGATAACGCTATACTTATGCTGGATTAGAGCTATAAAATACAAACAGAAATACACTTTAGCCGCCACCTTCTAAAAGCTCTACAAAACTGCTTCTCTATAAATGCTGAAACCTTTTGTTGGAAAAAACTTGAGACAGGTCATGCTATGTAGTCGAGGTTAACTTGGATTTACTATACTCCTGCTTCAGCCTCCCAAGTGATGGGAATATAGGCCCATGC